GTATTTGTTTGTTGGTTTTGCAGGTAAAACTACTCATAGGGACTTACAACGCTGTGTGCTGCTACGGTTTCATCTTCGATACCATGCCGAAAAGGGTGCTATACTGGGATTGGACTTGTTTGTTAATTTGCATGTTGCTTTTCGCATTGTTAACCTCGCATCAATATGAGTTCGTTGCTCTGCTTCCCGTTTCAATGGGCGCGATTCATGACTTCTTCCCTGCAAAAGGTGATGCTGCTCATTTTGCATTTGGTATGCGACTGTTCGAATTGGTGGTCAAGGATGCTCCCTAGAGCTTGTGCTATTGGGGAACATTTTGATGTGATCCAATTTGGGTCAACCAACAAGCTTGAATTGCTTAATCGAAAAGTAATCTCAAACACTAACAAGAACTATGATTTTTGTCTAAGTGTTGGAGGTGTTTCAGGTACCCTTCTTTGTACATATGCAGCTTGTGTTTGGCTCGACAAAAAAGGGCGAATGAAGGCTTGTTGTGAAGTTGGGTTTGGTTCTCAAAGCTTGTGCTTCGTGAGATTGAGAGTTGTTTAGGAAGAGTTCTAAGCAGCTTGAATGCTTGTATCATTCAGCTATTCATGCTGATCGTGGTCAGGCTTCGATTTATCTATATCGAGTCTTTCCCCGCTATGTGGAATTACACGAAATTGACCATCCATCCACTTACAAACCCCCCTGTTTTGTTCGAGACTTTGGAATTGAGCAAGCTCAATTCGTAGCTGCGTTTTTCTGAAACCTAAGACCCATCTAGGGCCTCATCAAGTGGTATAACGAGCCCGATTCAAACGCAGGGCACGAAAGACAACGACGACGGCAGAAGGCGTCACTGGAATCATGCACTGGACAAGGTTGAAGGGTCTTGTTTTTAGTGATCCTGCGCTGCTAATCCCAGAACAAAGGAAGAAGGAGAATCAGACAGCCATGGGCGACGAGCAACCTGCACAGCCTGTGACGATGTAAGCTTTACAACGGTACTTCCAGACTCAATTCGAGCAGGTTAATCGGCAATTGGCCGAGCTTCGCTTGCAAATTCCTAACCCTATTCCTTCGGAGAATAGGGCAAAGCACGAAGGAGTTCGCCAGGCCGGCGAACCAGTTCAAAACGACGCCAATCAAGAACTGTTGGCACGAATTCAAGATATCGAGCAAATATTGGTGGTTGCGGATCCCCATCATGGATGACCAAATCACGATCGTCGTGATTACAGGGAATGGAGGCCAGAGGTAGAGCCTACCATTCCTCCAGGCATCAAACTAACCATCCCTCCCTTCATTGGATCTCTCAATGCATCACATTACCTGGATTGGGAGCGAAAGGTAATGTTATTCTTTCAATTGGGAAATTATTCTGAGCAGCAGAAGGTGCTCTTGGCCACCTACGAGTTTACGGACTATGCTGCTCAATGGTGGGAGCAAGTTCGATTGCGACGACGACGTAACCTACAGCCAGAAATTACAACGTGAGAAGACCTCCGAGGTCTTCTAAGAGGTCAGTTTGTTCGTGGATACTATCAGAGAGAACTATACGAATCCTTGCATCAGATTCGACAAGGTACACGAACGGTGGAAGAGTATTTCAGGGATTGGGAGTTGCTGATGATGCGTGCCAATGTAAGAGAGGACAGGGAAGCCACGATAGCTCGTTTTCTTCACGGATTAAATCGAGAAATCCGACAGGAGTTGGATCTTAGATCGTTTTTGGATCTAGAGGAAGCTTTTCACCTGTCAATTAAGGTCGAAAAACAACAAAAGACCATGAGCAGAAGGTTTGCTTCGACTAGCAAAACTGTGGCAGAGCAGACTTCTGATTCCAATCTTTCCAGAGTGCAAACTGAACCTAGCAAGTCATCAGCCAAGGGAATGACGTCAGCTGCTGTGGAAAAGACTGGAGGAATCGAGTGTTTTAAGTGTCATGTAAGGGGACACAAGTCAAATCAGTGCCCTAATTTGTAGACACTAATAATCCGTGAAGGGGAGTACCTCACCGACGAAGATAAGGGCTCAGGCGAGGAAGAAGAGGTGGATGAAGAACTTGAAATGGAAACTCCTCCTACTCCAGTTCATCTCGCTGGTGTGAATCGAAGAGCACTCACCATTGAGACTCAATCGAACTCAGAACAGAGGGAAAAACCTCTTTTACTCACGATGCAGCGTCAAGGGAAACCTCTCTCCCTCATCATAGATGGTGGTAGCTGTACTAATGTCGCAAGCTCTGATATTGTCAAGAAACTCGGCCTAAGCGCAAGTAAACACCCTGCACCTTACATGTTGCATTAGCTTAACGATTACGGTGCTATCAAGGTCAATAAATAGGCTAAAATCAAGTTTGCAATTGGGCGGTATGAAGATGAAATTCAGTTTGATGTAGCTCCTATGCAAGCTGCGCACCTGTTGCTGGGACGACCCTGGCAATTTGATCGAGGAGTTTGTCACGATGGTGGAACCAACTGCTACAAATTTCAACATAAAAACCAAAAGTTTGCGCTTACACTTCTGTCGCCGGCCGAAGTGTGGGAAGATCAACGTCAATTGGAGATCAGTCGATGACGACAAAATGGGGACTCTAGTGGAACACGAGCTGAGGAGCACAACGAGATCAATTTTGCAACTCGCCGGTTCATGCTTATGGGACGCAAGAGGCCGAAGCAACCTCGACGTCAAAGGCTCTGTGGCGGCTCGCCGGAGCAGAGTAAGAGAGAGGGCCCATTGGGTGGAACTCTGGAGGACAATTCGAACCTTACCAAAGGCACTGACACCATCCCTGGTCCATGGGGAAGCTTCAACGAAGGCGGAATGGCATCAATTCTACCTGGATTATAAGATCCAATTCGACCCCAAATTGCTCTGAAAATGACCAGCGACGTGCACAAATCGGGGTTATTGGTTGGAGCAGCTGGGAACGATTTGACACAAACTGGAAGTGCCGAATCATTAAGGACTGATGTACGAAGCTGTAACAATCACCCATTCCAACCGAAGATCCCTGGAATGAAAACCCCCAAATCGAAATTGAAGTTCCTAGGTTCAGGAAATTCGAAAATCACTTATGGCGGGAAATTGCAAAATGACGATTCGATGATTATGGCGACGAGTCGAGAGAGAAGGGTGGTCCAGGAGCGCAATTCAAAGTTTTCTGAAGCTCATGGAGGCAGTGAATTAGCTGGGGAATACTTCAAATCAAAACCCCCAAATCATTCCACGATGAACACTGACCTAAGTTGTCAGAAGATCAAGTTCGAACAACCCTATTCTGATCCAGTTTGGAGCCAATTTTGCGAGCAGTTCGACCAAAGAAAGGCCAAAGTGTTGAGGGCAACACATCTTCAAGAGGGGGGGGGGCCTGATATGATCCAATTTGGGTCAACCAACAAGCTTGAATTGCTTAATCGAAAAGTAATCTCAAATACTAACAAGAACTATGATTTTTGTCTAAGTGTTGTAAGTGTTTCAGGTACCCTTCTTTGCACGTATGCAACTTGTGTTTGGCTCGACGAAAAAGGGCGAATGAAGGCTTGTTGTGAAGTTGCGAAGTTTCTCTAAAAGAGGAAATGGTTGGGAGCTCGAGAAGAGGCCATAAAGACTGATTTTCAAGCACCTACGTTGAAACTGGAAAACTGTCAGATTTTCACCAAGTCTGGAAGGTACCGTGGGTACCAACTTTTGGAGCTTGGTGCGAGGGGTTTGGAGGGGAATTACACGCTTTGTGGCCAAGCTTCAATTTATCTATTTTGAGTCTTTCCCCGCTGTGTGGAATTACACGAAATTGACCATCCATCCACTTACAACCCCCCCCCCCCTGTTTTGTTCGAGACTTTGGGATTGAGCAAGCTCAATTCGTAGCTGTGTTATTCTGAAACCTAAGACTCATCTAGGGCCTCATCACATTTGTTTGTTAATTTTGCAGCTCTTCCTGCCAGAACTGCAAGGATTTGCTTCTCTCCTTCAGTTTCAGCATGGTTAATTTGATGATTTTTACCTTTATAGGGTAAGAATCATGGATATTGTCCATGCTGTATAGGTATTAAAGAGCTACCTGTTGCATGGCGAAAAGGCTCTCTTATCGATGGTTCGGCTAATTGTCGACCGTCGTCCCTTTCTCTTATTGTATTAATACGGTTGCCTGAAAAGACTTCCAATTCGTATCTAGTTGTTCCCTTATGGGAATATCTTTGACAAAAAAAAAACATACCACATTTTCTCAAACTAACTACTTGAAAAATTAAGTATTGTACTTATTTAAAATTTTATGAATTGAAGTAAGTTTAAAAGATAAAGTTTCTTGTCTCTCTTCGTTCTCTGAACCCTAAAGCGCGTTCTTACCGATGGCGGCCGTCACTGACGGAGCGGCAGTCGTTGGTGGCGGTCGATCATGGGTGTCGTTGTTTGGAATTTCGGAGGATAATCGTTTGGACTACTATGAGCCAGAATATGTTAATAGCTCGCAGCAGATTTCGAGGGAGGTCGTGGAAGAAGGAGCTAAACGTTGGGAGAACAGTCTAGTGGGACAATTCATCGATCGTCCTGCGTCAATTTCATCTATCAGGTACTGGGCTAACTAGCTATGGGGGAAGGATGGTGGGGTTCGAGTTTCTGGTATGGGGCGACGATTGGTACTTTTCCAATTCCCTAATGCTGAGATCTGCCAGTGGGTTTTCAAGAATGGTCTTTGGCATCATAGGGAGAATTCACTTTTCCTGCACAAATGGGAACCAGGGATAAGCCCCTTGAAGCTTGATAATTCTTCGTTGCCTATCTGGATAAAGCTCTCGCATCTGCTAACGGAGCTGACTTCAAAGGAGGGTTTGGGGCGAGTGGAAAGTTCTCTTGGCCGTCCGCTCTGTATGGATAAGTCTACGACATATGGTAAGAAGGTGGGATTTGCTCAAGTTTGTGTAGAAGTAAAAGCCAGTGCTAAGAAGGTTTCAAAATTGAGTGTTACGCCTGATTGCTTACCTCAACTATTCATTGAAGTTCAGTACTGTCATATGCCTAAAGTGTGTGAGAAATGCAATTGCTTTGGGCATAGCTATTGCAAGCCTGTTGAAGCACAACAGCAAGTGTGGCAAAAGAAAGATCCAGTGATTGGTGAAGTTCAACTGACTGCTCAGTCCAGTGAAGGGGAAGTACAGAGTGAAGTCAGGGAAGCTGATATTATGAAGAATGGTAATGAACCTGAGGTTGTATTGGTTGATAAAGGAAAGGAAGTGTTGATAGAAGATCCAATGAGTGTTATTCCACCTAAGGGTACTGGGACTCCATCTCCACAAGGGGCTCCATCTCCACAAGGCTTTACTCTGGTTGTCAATAAGAAGAATAAGGTGTGGATAGGATCGAGTTCTAGTTCTCAAGGGCAGAAAAATCAATTAGGGAAGCTAGCTGCTGGTCTGGTAAATGGGAGACTGGGTGCTCGAATTGCTTCTCCCCTTCCTCCATCTCCTCCAAAGGGTAGAGGGAGAGGGGAAAAGCGAGGTAAAGGAAGGTCCTAAGTTGGAATATCAGGGGATTTAATGATCCTGATAAGCACTCAGCAGTGTTAGAGCAGCTGAGGGTGAAGAGGATTGATATAGTAGGCCTATTAGAAACTAGAGTAAGAGAGGAAAATAGCAATACTATAATAACATGGTGTTTTTCTGCCTGGAAACATCTAGCTAACTGTACTAAATCTACAAAAGGAAGGGTGTGGATTTTCTGGAGGGCAGGTATGAAAGTTACTCTTATCGACGAGGGCAAGCATTACATACAGATATTGGAAGAAGATGTTAAGCCTTTTCATGTGGTTTTCGTTTATAGTCCTAATAAGGAAGCTGAGCACAAGTTACTATACCAAGAGCTGCTGCTTCGTCGAGATAATGGTATCCCAATGATATTCATGGGGGATTTTAATGCCATAGCTGACGTCACTGAGACTTCAAATGCCCAGGTAATTACTCAGAGTATGCAAGATTTTCGGAGTTGGATTCAAGGCATGGAGTTAACAGATCATAGAGTGATTGATTGTTGGTTCACCTGGTGGAATCGTCAGAGAAACAACCCAATAGCTCGTAGAATTGACAGGGTTCGGGTAAATGAAGCATGGTTGGAGGGGTTTGCGGATAGTTCATCTTATACTAACCCTCCTGGTGTATCTGATCATTGCGGGTTGCTCTTGGATACGGCTCCGAATATGAAGACTCTTCTCAAGCCGTTTAAAGGTTAATCGTGTTGCATACTCAGATATTTCAAGTTAAGGATGCAGCTGCAGCAATGGAACGTGTCACATCCCGATTTCTAAAATATTTAAATAACAAGTTTGCTCCGGAGCATATTTAAAATTTTGAAAGAAAGAAACAATAATGTGCTCGAAATACCAATCCTGAAAATACACCTTATAATTTAAAAGCAAAGCCCTAACATTTGGGCAAACCTCAATCCATAAAGTCTTATCCTTTTAAATCTCCAGTCATTACTCATAATCATAAAGCAAATAACTAAAGATTACAGATGCTGCTTACTCCGATCCGTGGTCAGACATCTTCAGAAGTGCTCACGTGGTCCTCCTCGGGTAGCCTGTTCTCTCACTGGATGCTCCTCGACTGGATGCTCCCTAGCTCCTCCTCTACAACCTGGTGAGTGGGTTGGGGTCAGTCTACGCCATTACTTAAACTTGAGGCACTTACGGGTGTTCCCTTAAGTGTTCACCTCAAAACTTGTGGAAGTTGTTCATTCTTCCACCCTTTAAATTTTAACCCTTAAAAACGTGGGAGTTGTTGTTACTCGCCACCCTCAAAATTCTTAAACCTTTGACCGACACTGGGATCCCCTCACTAACTAGTCCAGCCGCCCAGCTCATACGAATGAGGGCCAACATAGGCCTTTCCTTAAACCTTTTTATGGGAGTAATCGATTCAACCCCATAAACCTTAAGAGTATATCGTACTCTTCCTTTAAACTTCATGTGATGTCTAAGTGATTCATCCACATGTTCCTTAAGAGCAAACTTGCTCTTCCTTTAACTTTCACTGGGGCGGGGGACTGGCGTTAGTGAACTACCTTTAAATCTTTTCACCCTAATTTAATTAGGAGTGAAATACCTCTTAAATGTTGATCCTTAAAGATCAACCAACCTTCATTAAATAAACACAATATAAAAGCTTCAAGTAAATACCGAAAGCTAAAATAATCATATGCTTCACAATCATAACTCAAATAGAGCATCTCAGATAATATATCAAATAAAACATGCTTTATCAATCACGACATAAATCAATCACTGGCATACAATTCACATGAACACACATACTTAAAACACGTAAGTCAAATACTTGAAAATACGTAAGGCGTAGAATTTACCCCCTTAATCCACTCACCTCGAAAAGATGAATCTTCTCAGACTATGAAAAATTCCAAAACTCCCTCCTATAACATTCCCCTCGCTTCTACGATTCCGTGAGCGCAGACGGTTCCTCGATCGGACGTCTATTGATCGAGTTATGGCCAAAATAAATATTTTGTCAGTTTAGAAGTACCAAGTACCGCAACTGATATTTTCCAGTCAACACAGTTGACCACGACCTGCTGGAAAAATTACACATTTAATCCTCCAACTTTTTCGAATTTCCACGAATGGTACCTGATAGTTGACATGTTCTTCCTCAAACTTGGGAGACTCGGTTCTCCCTCGTCCGACGTCCGAATTTGATTTCGTCGACACCGTGACGCTCCTGAGATCGCCCTCTACGCGACCGTATCCACCTTTTGAAGTTTGGTCGAAGTTGATTTTTTTTGCAGAATCCGGCGATACTCCGGCGAGACGCCAATGAAGCTCCGACGAACCACCAAACGACCACTAACTTGGATTCTGACTCCGTGGAATGATTTCTGACCTTCTCCCAACCAAAACCCAGTGCCCAGACTCCTTCCTTTCCCTCTTCTTCTATTCCCTACTTTTTTTCCTTTTCTTTAACGTGGAGGTGAGGCCGCGGTGTACGCTCGACGTGAACCGAGGCGAGTTGCTGCTTTCGTTGGGCGTCGGTGATTTGGGACGTCCCACGTCCTGCTTCTGATCGAGGTAAGTTGGTGATGTAACCTGGGAAGTGATGATGATGGTGTTCGTCGGCTGGTGGTGGCGATGTGTTTGACGGCGGGGAGATGGTGATGGAGGTAAAGATGACGAGAAGGTGATAGTGATGGTAAGCAGTTGGGGGAGGAAGAGAGGAATAAGTCTGGCATAAAGCCCACCGACTCTCTACTTCTCAAACATGGCCCTTCAATCAGTTTCTCAAGAACCTTGCTTATGCTATGCTTGACATGAGGTTAAATTTAACATACAATGTGCTGTCCGCTGCGAATGGGAGGAGATGAGAAGGAAAGTATATTATACACTACTTGATTCTTATCTTGACAAGAGTACTTCAGATCCAGAGTAAATGTTGTAGGGACTGGATGGTTGGATGATTGTGCTGCTAGCTGTAGGGAGGAAGTGTTCTCGGTTGGATCTGTATTGCAGGTGGTGATTAATTTGATCACGGGAGAGAGGTGGAGAAGTGGGGCAGTGTACATATATGGGGTGGGGGTGACGTGGGGTGGGGTGGGTTTTTTTTTTTGTTTTTTGTTTTTTGTTTTACTAATAATAATAATATGTTATTATTATTATTCCTAATTCGCAATTGTAACCATTCGTACGTAATCGTCTATCCAATCGATAATTTATCGTGATCGAACTTGAACTCAAATGTCAGGGTGTTACATTTCCTCCACCCTTATAAAAATTTCGTCCTCGAAATTAGAATTGTTGGATAGGTATTGAGGTACAAACACTTGTATTCGAATGGGATGTAACAGAACGAGCCCAGTTATCTGTGCTAAATAACCCTAGTGAGGCCAATGTAGTTGATGAGAAAAGGCTGGCAATGGAGTATGTGGAGCTCAAGAAAGCTGAGGAGCTCTATTATAAGCAAAAATCTCGAGCTCGGGTTATCCAAGAGGGTGATTCCAATACGTCTTATTTTCATAAACTGGTCAAGGTCAAAACACAGAGGCAACAAATCACTAGAATGAGAAATGAACAGGGTGTAGAGGTCTCTGATATTCATCAGATAGGAGCTATTGCGGTAGACTTCTATACGAAGCTCATTGGTACTGAAGATCCACTCGTTGAACAGCAGGCCGTGGCTTTCTACCAAGCAATTCTACAGCACAAGTTATCTGAGGTGGAGGAAGAGTTTTTACTGCAAGGTATCACAAGGGCAGAAATCAAAAGTGCATTCCATTCTCTTGGATGTGATAAGGCACCAAGGCCTGATGGGTTTCCAGCAGAATTTTTCAGATCCCACTAGGATATTATTGGAAGAGTGGTTGAAGAGGTAACTTTTGCATTTTTCTCCACTGGAATTATGCCTTCTATAGTTAATAGTACTATATTCACATTGGTTGCTAAGATCCCTTGTGCTGAGAATATGAAATATTATAGGCCTATTTCGTGCTGTAATACACTTTACAAAGGTATCTCCAAGATCTTAGCTAATAGATTGGCAATGGTTCTCCCAAGTGTGATTAATAAATCTCAGTCTGCGTTTATTAAGGGACGAGCTATTAGTGATAATATATTGTTAGTCTCTGAATTGGTGAGGAACTATCATTATAAAAACATTAGTCCAAGGAGTGTAGTGAAAATTGACATCATGAAACCATTCGACTCTGTAAACTGGAAGTATTTGTTTCCTGTGATGGAAGCGATGGGATTCCCTGCTGGTTTTTTGAAACTTCTATCTGCTTGTGTTACTACTCCAACAATTAAGATCTCTTTGAATGGTGGTCTGTGTGGAAATGTTAAAGCTCTCAAAGGCTTAAGGCAAGGTGATCCTCTATCACCCTACCTATTCACCACAGCTATGGAGGTATTGGATGGCCTTGCTAGGAAGGCAGCGAGGGATAATCAGATTCCTTTCCACCCTCGTTGTAAGCCCATGATGATCACGCATCTCTGTTTTGCGGATGATCTGATGGTTTTTACTAATGGTTCAGTAAGGGGGGTTGTAGGTATAAGGCGGCTGATGGATGAATTTTATACACTCTCTGAGCTTAAGTGTAACGCAGCAAAGTGCTAGCTATTTTGTGCTGGGATATCTAAGGAAGAAATGCAATTTATTTCTACTACAACAAAGTTCCCTCTTCGATCCCTTCATGTCAGATATCTAGGAGTCCCATTGATAACTGGAAAAATTACTCGACAAGATTGTCAAGCTCTTATTGACAAGATTACTTAGAGGCTTCGAAGCTGGAGGTCTCGCTTATTGACTAATGCTGGTCGTATTCATTTGATTTCATCTGTGATAACTAGCACGCTGCAATACTGGCTTACTATCTTTCTGCTTCCTCAATATATAATTAAGGAAGTGGAGCGGCTATGTAATGAGTTTCTCTGGGATTCAGCTGAGGGTGGATCGAGGAAAAAAGCAGTGATGGTATGGAACAAGCTTGAGGTGCCAAAGCGAGAAGGAGGTATGGG